ACAAAGGATTATAATGAATTGTATATAAACTATAAAAATATGTGTGAATTATTTGGAAATCTACCTAAGTTTGAATATGTAGATTTTGCACTTAATCATCCAATCTTCTGTTTTGATCTATCAGCTCACCAAGAAGATCTTTTCAAAACAGGAGTAAACATAAATATAAATATTCATATTGAAAAAACACAAGGAGATGTGACCGGGTATTGTTTATTATTGGAAGAAGCAAAACATTTAATTAAAATAGCAGATAGAAGAATGATAAGAATTGAGTAAGAAATATACCCTTAAAAATGAAAGTAGAAACTTTAGTTATGAAAATAATAGAAGCTATTGAAACAGCTTCACCAACTGTAAATGGTAAAAAAATCAGCATAACTAAAAAACTTATTGATAAATACAAATATTGTAAAGTCAGAGATGATATAGACTTAGAAAGAATTGACAAGAGTGTAAAGGAAGGTGGATTTATATTTTCCCTACCTTTGATATTTGCTGGTCTTACCGCGGCGGGTGCAATAGCTGGTGCTACAGCTGCTGGAGTAGGTACTGCCAACGAAGATAAAGCAGCTAAAGTAACAGCTGCCGAAGAACATATACACAATTTGGAAATGGAAAAGCAAGCAAAGTAAGCAGCTACTGCAAAAAAAAGGTCCAGGAGTGGGAGATATGATAGGCACAAGAAAAGAATTTGGAAAACGATTTGGGGAAGAAACCAAGAAAAATGTTAAACAAGGATTAAATAAATTAGTAGATAGTATTGACACAGGAGAAGTCAAAGTCAAAATATGGAATATTTAAAAAACATACGTACTGTAGAAGGAATATATCTTTCAAAGTATAAAGGAGATGGAGTGATTTTTTGGAACAAAATAAAATAATAAAAAATGGGAGAGAAATTCAAACATTCAGAAATATTTCTTAATAACCAATGCTCATGTGTATATGCGGTAGTTTTAGTTCTGGGAAAACTCATCTCACTTTTAACATGTTGACAACACCAAACCTTTTAGATTTCGATTTACTATATATCTATAAAACAACATCAGAGCAATCGTATTATCAATTTCGCAAAGCTTTAGAATATTTACCATAGAAAGATGTTCAAGACATATTTCAATATTACGAAGAAAACGAAAAAGAAGTGGAAATAAAAGATACCATAGAAAACGTCATTAAATCAAAGAATCCAACGGATAT